TTGGTTTGTTCTCTGTCTCTAGCAAAATGCTCCATTTAGTTCACCCCCTGTATCATATTTCTTCTCTGGTGACTGCTGCTTAATGCTCAAACTCAGCTAAAGTATCCTTTCCTCTGTGAGGCCTTCACTAATTCTCCCAGGCAGAGTTGTGAACCTCTTGCCCATCTTATATTCCAGAACATCACTAAGCAACAGCATTCTAGTGATCTGCCTAAATGGCCATCTTTTTAACTAGAAGACTGTGCATTACTTAGCAACGTATCCCCAATCAATGTATCCTCAATTAAGTAGGTGCTTAATAAACATGAAGTGACTGATTAAAACCCCTGACAGGCTAATGGGTGGTATTAAGGAGACTAGGGCCACATTCTATCCTGGTCTTCAACAGGGTATCCTTCAGTTCCAGTCTGGAAGGACATTTGGTGTGGAGCAAAGTGATCGTCCATCCAATCTAACAGTAAATAGGTAGTTTCTGTATGTCAGGCACTGTCAGGTAAAAAGAAGAATAAACTCTTCCTTAAATGAACACAAGGTGAAGTGGTGCAGTTGATTTAGAAGACAGTTTTGCAGTTCCTCAGCAAGTTAAACATAGAGTTACCATATTAGCCAGTAACCCCATTCCTTGATATACACCCAAGAGAACTGAAAGCATATGCCTACACAAAAACTTATACACAAATGTTCATACCATCATTATTCATAATAGCTGAAGGTAGATGCCGGGCACAGCGGCTCACACCTGTAATCCCAGCACTTTGGGAGGCTGAGGTGGGTGGATCACAATGTCAGGAGTTTGAGACCAGCCTGACCAACACGGTGAAACCCCATCTTTACTAAAAATACAAAAATTAGCTGGGTGTGGCGCATACTTGTAATACCAGCTACACAGGAGGCTGAGGCAGGAGAATTGCTTGAACCTGGGAGGCAGAGGTTGCGGTGAGCTGAGATCATGCCATTGCACTCCAACCTGGGCAACAAGAGTGAAATTCCATTTCACAAAGAAGAAAGAGAAAGAAAGAAAGAAAGAAAGAAAGAGAGAGAGAGAGGGAAAGAAAGAAAGAAAGAGAAAGAAAGAAAGAAAGAGAAAGGAAGGAAGGAAAGAGAGAGAGAAAGAAAGAGAGAGAGGAAGAAAGAAAGAAAGAAAGAAAAAGAAAGAAAGAAAGAAAGAAAGAGAGAGAAAGAAAAGAAAGAAAGAAAGAAAGAAAGAAAGAGGAAGGGAGGAAGGGAGGAAGGGAGGAAGGGAGGAAGGGAGGGAGGAAGGAAGGAAGGAAGGAAGGAAGGAAGGAAGGAAGGAAGGACCCAAATGCCTGTCAACTAATGATAGAGGAACAAAATTTATTCAATAGCACAGATGGCCCTCCAATAACGTTGTTTTATGAGAATGTTGATGAGAAAAAAAAAAATAAACTCCCAGCTGAAAGTTTGCACCTTCTCTCCACATCTGCATAGGTTTTCTCCAAGTACTCCAATTTCCTTTTGCATTCCAAAGATGTGCACATTAGGTTCATTGGTGTGTCTAAATTGTCCCAGGATGATAGGGGTGTGTGTGTGTGAGAGACAGAGAGAGAGACTTACAATGGAATGATGTCCTGTTTGGGACTAGCTCTCAGTTGGTGTGCTGAGCTGCTAGATAGGCTCCCATCACCTGAGATCTTAAACTGGAATAACGGGGCAAATAATTATTTTACTTGGTTTTATTAATCTTTTAAGAGTGTACATATAGCTCACATTTATTTCTGCCTTTTATATTAGAAATGTTGGACGGGTGCTGTGGCTCAAGCCTGTAATCCTAGCACTTTGGGAGGCCGAGGTGGGTGGATCACCTGAGGTCAGGAGTTCAAAACCAGCCTGGCCATCATGGTGATACCCCACCTTTTTCTTTTTCTTTTTTTTTTTTTTCTTTTTTTTTTGAGACGGAGTTTCACTCACGTTACCCAGGCTGGAGTGCAATGGCGCGATCTCGGCTCACCGCAACCTCCGCCTCTGGGTTCAGGCAATTCTCCTGCCTCAGCCTCCTGAGTAGCTGGGATTACAGGCACGCACCACCATGCCCAGCTAATTTTTTGTATTTTTAGTAGAGATGGGGTTTCACCCTGTTGACCAGGATGGTCTCGATCTCTTGACCTCGTGATCCACCCGCCTCGGCCTGCCAAAGTGCTGGGATTACAGGCTTGAGCCACCGCGCCCGGCCTGATACCCCACCTTTTAAAAAAGATATATTAGAAATGTTTTTGCTCTTTATTTAGCAGCTTGGTGATGTTTTTGTGACCAAAAATATGCTGTAGGAAATTAATTGTTGTTTATTCAATTCCTTTACCAGAACATTGGGGGTTTTTATACATCATTTTGCTTAAAGGTTGCCATTTCAAGAACCTATCAATGACAGTAAGTGAGAATGTGCTGTATATCCATATAATGGAATATTATTCAGCCATAAAATGAAGTACTGATAACTGCCACAATATGGATAAATCTTGAAAACATTATGCTATGTGAAAGAAGCCAGAAACAAAAAGCCATATACTGTATGATTCATTTATATGAAATATTCAGAACAGGCAAATCCATAGAGACAGAAAGCAGATTAGTGGTTGCCAGGGGAAATGAACGGTGACTGCTTAATGGGTATGAACTTACATTTTGGGGTGATGAAAATGTTCTGTAATTAGATAGTGGTTATGGTTATACAACTTTGCGAATATGCTAAAAACCGCGGAATTGTTAAAGAAAATTCACTGCATGCTTTCTAAGAATACATACATTCTGAAAGTATAGAAACCGTCACTAAGGGAAGTGTTGGTTTATTCCAAAGGAATAGTAGCTAAAAGTGTAAAGGAACTTTTCTAAGCCTGTGAAAGCAGTAAAATGTGGCTCCTACCTTCAGCAACCCAGAAGGGATTTACTCTTTAGATCTGTATTGTTCAATTGGATGTTCTAAGATGATGGAAATGTTCTTTATCTGAGCCATTTAATATGGAAGCCACTAGTCATATATGGCTATTGGACACTTGAAATGTGATTAGTGCAATTTGAAGAACTGAATTTTAAACTGTGTTGGAATTCAAATAACCACATGTGGTTAGTGGCTATCATACGGCAGTGCAGCTTTCGCTGGTTTGGAGGACTAGCACCATTTTAAATGGCAGTTTGGAAGAATACTGGTGGTCATGGGAGTGGGAAACTGTATCTTTATGTCTCACAGCCCACATCAACCCTGTATCCACTAGAAACACTTCATAAGATCTCACTGCTCCCACCGTTCTCCTCTCTATGAACTCTTAATAAACTTCAGTCCAGGCTGGGTACAGTGGCTCACGCCTGTAATCCCAGCACTTTGGGAGGCCAAGGCGGGAGGATCATGAGGTCAGGAGATCTAGACCATCCTGGCCAACATGGTGAAACCCTGTCTCTACTAAAAATACAAAAAACTTAGCTGGGCATGGTAGAGCACGCCTGTAGTCCCAACTACTCAGGAAGCTGAGGCAGGAGAATTGCTTAAACCCAGGAGGCAGAGATTGCAACGGGCCGAGACTGCGCCACTGCACTACAGCCTGGGCGACAGTGCGAGACTGTGTCTCAAAAAATAAATAAATAAGTAAACAAACTTCAGTCCTTAAGACAGGGTTTAGTTTTGTCCTTATGGCAAGGCAAAAGACACCTTCTTCCACCCCACACTTATTTATGGGCCAGGCATTTTGTGGAACATGCTAGGAACCGGAAGGATTGTAGACAATGACAGCCAAATTCTAAAGGGTTGGTCTTGAGAAAGGTGAGAGGAAAAAGGGACAAGAGAAATTCATTACAAAGACCTGACTTTTTCTCTGCTTCCCTCCGATGCCCCATTCAGACACACACAGACACACACACTCCAACACTCAGACACACACACACACACACACACACACAAACACTTCCAAGTACGAAATCTTGCTAGTGAGATGCTGGTGTTGAAGAATCTTTATTTACATTTCTTGTTTCCAACTCAAGCTCCGTAACATCCTAACTCCTTCAATACATCTTCTATTCATGTTGTCTCTCTCATCTATGAACTTTTACTGAACTTGAAATCAATAATATGGAATGTAATGACTTTCAAGTGTTCTTCTATAACGTGGTGTCCTCGCAGAAAGATTTATTTGTGGTACAAATATTTATTGAACTCATATCTATTTTGTGCCACCACAGTCCTAAGGGGTGTGAATAAAAAGGATGAAAGACAGTCACCAGACAACTGAGAGCCTGATGAGGAGGCACACAAAGAAACCATCCTACCACATCTCTGCTTAGATGTGCAGGAAGCTTCATTGAAAGCGCAGGGCAAGGAGCTGCCAAATTAGACACAGAAAAATTAGGGAAGACTTCTCAGAGGAAGTGATATTTGAGGAATTTGAAGGATAAGTACAAATTCCAAATTGTTTTTATTTTTCGCTTATATTGTGTACTTTCTTTTTTTTTTTTTTTTTTTTTGAGACGGAGTTTCGCTCTTGTTGCCCAGGCTGGAGTGCAATGGCGTGATCTCGGCTCACCGCAACCTCCGCCTCCTGGGCTTAGGCAATTCTCCTGCCTCAGCCTCCTGAGTAGCTGGGATTACAGGCATGTGCCACCATGCCCAGCTAATGTTTTGTATTTTTAGTAGAGACGGGGTTTCACCATGTTGACCAGGATGGTCTCGATCTCTTGACCTTGTGATCCACCCGCCTCGGCCTCCCAAAGTGCTGGGATTACAGGCTTGAGCCACCGCGCCCGGCTATATTGTGTACTTTCAAAAGTTAGATTTAAGGTAGCTTTTCAGGAGAAGTTTTTGGACCTAATGTTGGAAAGAATGCATTAACCTCGGGGTCTTTCTCAACATCTGTGACAATGTTTTGCATTGCTGATGAGGTTCCTAGCTTGACAGTCACTCTTGCTGCCCTCCAAACTTATTCCTGAGAGGAAAACAAAAATTAGTAGAAGATAAGTCTTTCTTTATCAAGGAGTTTCTTTTTTTATATATAATTCAGTCTCTGTAGAGACTGACAAAAATTACCAATGCTGACTATACTTCAAGTCATCATGGCAGGATATTGGGAAAAGTTTTCAATTAGTAATAATCGCGCCTCGGATAAACCTCGTTGGCTACAGTGCTGCCAGTGTGCAAAGCTGATATCAAGGAGTTTAAAATCTCTCATGTGCTGTTGCAGTATCCTTCTTATTGGTCTCTTGGGGGCTTATTTTCTTCTAATCCAATGTATCCCAAATTTTAGTAACTTATGTCCCATTGTCACCATTCTTACCATTTCCACATATTATCTGCACAATGATGTCCTTAATTGTTTCTTTGAATTGGCTTTCATTTTGCTTAGTTTTACTAAAAAGGATTTTTGATATCATTATCATAATTGAAAAACCAGTATCATTTGCCATAAAGAGATGATTGACTATAGAAATCACACAATGAAAATAAAACTACATTATTTAATCTTGGCTGAATATTGTTGGTTGCTGAAAGTTCTGAGTTTGGGGCCCTGCTCTTTCTTCGATGAAAAGGGAGGTTACCAAGCCTTGGAGAGGTATGAAAAACATACAGGCACCAAATGGATCATTTCCCCTTAGGTTAATCGAAGAGACCAAAAGAGAATTTTAAAGAGAGTAACTCTATCTCACTGTATGAACCAAAGAAAGTCAATTTCCCTTTTGCATACCACTTAGAACCAACTCTTGCACCAAGTAAAATCAGTTCGTCCTGGTACCACATTTGTAAACATTGCTCTGATCTATCCCTCTCATAGCTATTGGAATGATCTAATACATAAATGTCATCATTTCTCTCTCCTATTAAATTTCCTTCAATGGCTCTTTATTACTTAAGGAAAAAAATCTTACTTCCTGATGATGGGATACAAGATCCTTCTTAATTAGGCTTAGGCTACTTCTCCATCCTTAACTTCTGTCATCCACCTTTTTAACTTTCTATTATACCAATGCTAATCTACTTGTAGTTCCCAGAACGTACCATGTACATCTGTGCCTTTGAACATATTCTTCCCTTTACCAGTGTGCTATTCATCAACTACTCATCCTTATCATCTTCCATTTCTCTTCTCTGCTTATTTTTATTTATCTGCCTAGTCATATGCCCACCACCACCAATAACTACAATACAGCAGCATGCCTCTAGAAATACCTGCCCCTTTCTTCTGGGGGATCTTCCTCCACTGTCTCCAACCACATGATTTCAGCAGGAACTGACAAGTTCTCATATGACTTCATATCCCTGATCACAGCCAATCATCCTACACGTGGTCAACCTAACCAAGGTGAACCAATCAGATTTCCTGAGAATTCCATACCAAGAACAGCACATTGGAGTTACTCTTTCTCTGTGTTAAGATGCAGAGAGAAACTGAGGCAAGTAAAATAGACATTCTATACTCCAGGGATCCCCAAACCCCAGGCCACAGACTGGTACTGGTTCATGGCCTGTTAGGAACTGGGCCACTCAGCAGGAGGTAAGCAGCAGGTGAGCGGGCATTACTGCCTGAGCTCCACCTCCTGTCAGATCAGTGGTTTAGATTCTCATAGGACGGCAAACCCTATTGTGAACTGTGCATGCGAGCGACCTAGGTTGTACACTCCTTATGAGTATCTAACACCTACAACCTGAGGTGGAACAGTTCCATCCTGAAACGACCCCCCTAACCCCCACCCCTGCTACCATGGAAAAATTGTCTTCCATGAAACCAGTGCCTGGTGCCAAACAGGTTGGAGACTGCTGCTCTAATCCACTTACGCTGAAGACCAGCTATTTCCTTGCCCTTCCTTCCTTTAGATCATTCAACTTTTCCTTTTATTTTGTGAAAGTGATTCCAGTATCCTTACAATTAAGTCCCTTTTTCTTAAACTAGTTTGAGTTGAGTTTCTGTCACTTGCACCCAAGTGTCCTAATACATTCCTGATTGTCCTTGAGGTCCCAACAAATGATTCTTCTTTGTGAAGGCTTCCCTGGCTCCCCCAAGCTCACAAATGTGCCTCTTCTCTTATGCCATCCTGCATTTTGTTATCCCAGACCCTCTTTTTAGCAATTATCTTGGTGATCTTGACATTTTTGTGTGGGGAATAGTGTGTGCTGTCCCTGTTCCCTATTTTGAATATTCCATTAATCATCCCAATGGGAAGGGGAATTTAGAGCACAACAACCTATTAACATTATGCTCTCAGAGAAATCAATATTTACCAAGAAAATGTTTTGTTTAACTATTAACTATTATTAGCTGCTCCATTGTGAATAATTTTTTTGAGAACTAAGCTTAATCCTTAAAAGGACCTTAAGGATATACCAATTACAAGTTCTCTCCTACCCTTCCAGGATGGAATTAGGAATGCAGAGGTTTATGACCATGACCCCATAAACAACCAGGATGGAGGCAGCACCTGGAGGTGAGGGCAGAAACTGATTAGCACATGGAAGAGAGGGTCAGAGAAAAAGGAAGATCTGAGAGAAAAGAAACCCTGGGAGTCCCGCCTGTCACCAAATCTCTCTGAATTAAAAAAGACAACTCCATAAAAAAGTAAATAATGTCTTCTACCATTCATGAATTTATATCTGTGATCATACTTAGCTAAAGATTGAATTCTTTTAGGAAACTGATGAACCTTTGTACCTGCTCAGGTATTACTAATATGGCACATCTGTTTGCACATTTATCTCATGTCTAGACCGGAAGATTCCTTAGAAAAGAGATTCTTCCAATCTTTGAGATGTTGAGCATCTCACATAAGACCCAACACCCACCCCACCCTTGAGCTGGACTTTGATGATTTTAGCTTATATTATGTAGGAATGTTTTCCAGCTGCAAGTATCAGAATAACCAGCTATGGTAACTCACAGAGTAAAGACATTTCACTATCTGACCTGAACAGTCTGGAAATTAGCAGTCCCAGGGTATGTTGTTTAAAAATGACAAAAGAAGCTAGATGCAGTGGTTCATGCCTGTAATCCCAGCACTTTGGGAGGCCAAGGCGGGCAGATCACTTGAGGTCAGGAGTTCGAGACCAGTCTGGCCAACATGGTGAAACCCCATCTCTACCAAAAATACAAAAATTAGCCAGGCATGGTGGCGCACACCTGTAATCCCAGCTACTTGGGAGGCTGAGGAGCGAGAATCATTTGAAACTCGGAGATGGAAGTTGCAATAAGCAGAGAGATTGCACCACTGTACTCCAGCCTGGGCGACAGAGCAAGAGTTCATGTCAAAATAAATAAATAAAATATTTTAAAAAATAATAATAATGGCAAAAGGACCCAGGCTCTTTCTACTCTCTTATCCTGGGCTTTTTGTCTCTCTTAGGCTTCTTGCCTTGTGATTGCAAAATGGCTGCCACAGCTCCAGGTATCTCATCATTAGAAAGTTTATTTAATGGAGGAAGAAAGTCATCTGGCCTGGAAAAGAGGCTTTTTTTTTTTTTTTAATATCAGGGAGGAAAACCTTTCTAAAATACCTCCTCCTCGGCTGATGATGATAAATAAGAATACAGAAGCTGTAGCTGAACACAGGCTGGCTGGTGGGCTCCCTGAACCAGCCCAGCTTGTATGGGTTCTGGCTAAACCAGAGCATCAGGAGCCCACCTGCCTGAGATGGCCCCACACTGTCACCCAGCCGTTCTTTGATCATTTTTTTCTAGATTGATTCTCTCCCAGGCATTGAGCTCCCTTCTAGCTTCAGCAGGGCAGAGTCCTCCTCCAGATATGTGTAACTTACATCTGAGTATCTGGGAGTAGCTGAAGGACAGGTAATTTCTTCCAAACATCAAGCCTCGGGATTATCGGAGCAAGCAGGAAGCCAGTAACCTCTCTCTGCCTGTTAGAGGTGGAGGATTTTCCTATGGTTCCCCTCATTTCCTGATGTGTATTTTCAGATGGATTAAATATTCTCCTGTTTCTAAAAAAATAAAATAAAATAAAATAAAATACCTCCTCCTCATCTGGTAAATTCTATCTCAGTAGCTAGGACTGAATCACATGGCCATGCCTAGTGGCAAGAGAGATAGGAAAACTAGTTTAGTATCTGACTTTTCCAGCCTCAAGAGTGAAAAGTAGGTGTATTACTGGCAATACTGCCCTTCAACCAGACAAATGGGGCCTTGGGCCAGGATCCAGGCCTCAGGGGTTTCACGGTTTGTGACACCAGCGGGGGACTGACAGTGCTATTCGGGTGGGTGACCCTGAGCCTGGATCAAGACCCAAATGCATCGTCCTCACTTCTGTTCCCATTTCTTCACTTTGGGGTACTCTTCACCCACTGTCACTCAGGTAGAGTTGACCAGAGGCCCCAAGGAGCTCTTGGATTCATATCTATGGGATCTTTTTGGTATCCTGTGGCTGGATTCTTTATCCAGGAGGACTGCCTGGAGTGTGGATTGCCTTACTGGCCTGTGAATTATTTCTCCTGTGAGATCTCACAAGATTGAGCTGCCAGAATCGTGCTGGGTGCTTATTTGGGATGATTCTCACTCACATCACACACAGGATAAGTTCAGGGCTCTGAGCTATTGATAATTTCCTGTTCCCTGCTAACCTTCGGTGTGAGCTGAATGCGTGGGCCCATGCCCTAGTTTTAACTGGCTATATTTCTACTGCAATGACACCTCTAAACCTGGGGGCAGGGGAGACATCCTTTACACTGTGCTAGGACCCAGGGCAGTTACCCACTACCCTGTGGGCTCCCCACAGTTCTCTAGGGACAGTGATGCCTATTTCCATACAGGGCTTTCCAGGCCATCACCCGAGAATGCCGATGAGCCCTGCTGCTCCATGTATCCTCTCACTTCTGATCAATGGCGGACATAATTCTCTTCTTGGTCAGTCTTAATCTTTGTGGAAAGGGATTCACATTCCTTGCATCAATGAGATTACTCTTTTTTTGTTGTGTTTAAAGAGACAGGGTCTCATTCTGTTTCCTGGGCTGGAGTAGTGTAATCGTAGCTTACGGCAATCTCCAAGGCCTGGACTCAAGCGATCCTCCTGCCTCAAGCCCTTCGCGTAGCTGGGATTGTAAAGGTGTGTCATCACCTCTGGCTAATTTTTAATTTATTTGTAGAGACAGGGTCTCACTATGTTGCCCAGGCTGGTCTCCAACTCCTGGTCTTCAGTGATCCTCCCGT